CATTATCTACCTATTCTTCTTGGTGTATCAGCACTTGTTGCCTTTTTCACAGCGTAAGTAYAGATGGGAAACTATACTGCAAGCCTATTGGGAATTATTCAGAACATTTTGAAAGTTTCAATGTATGTTGAATTTTTAGACCATGAGATCATTGCACTTTGAGAATTGATAATCCATGAGGCTGTACATTGCATAATCCTCTTCAAGCTATTTATAAGTTCGAGAAGAGGCACAAAACATCAAAACGTCCACAAGTATCAATTTCCAATAGTTCTTCCATATGACAGTGGTAATTATGTTTCCATGATGTTCATTTATGAAATYGATGTTAGGCACTTACTTATCATTCAGTCCTCTGATCTTTTATTTGCCCTTGCTGTTATAATCACAGGTATGGCTTAGCAGTCAAAGAAAAGCATGTGGATTCACTTTTCCCTTACATAAGGTATTTCAAAAAGYATGCATGTAATCCCTTTTTCATAATAGTCTCATTCACAGTTCCCTGCGCCATCTTGAWAGGTAGTCGTGCGTTTGCATTGAATGAAGACAACCGTTGAGCATGCAATTATCTGTGAATAATTGTCTGTTGGTGTGAAAAAAGGTTTCTATCATTAGTGCAGACTCAATGGTTATATTGCTTTGACGCAAAGGCACGACTGCCTTTGAAGATGGCGCAGGAAACCGTGAACGAGACTATTAATTACAAAGCTGCATTGGCTACTGTACACCGGTAGGATTTGCTAGAAAGTTTACCTTTTTTCATCAAAGACCTGTTGGGCATCAATACCAATCCTGTTTATCCTTACAACTTAAACCAGAAGTAACTTACAAATTGGAAAATATTCTTGTAATTGTACACATGTAATAACAAGAAACAAGAAAAATGTTTTCCCACAACTGAAAATGTTTTTTTTTCTTGAGCTCACGTGAATGGAATCCCTAGATATTTGCAATCTTTTAAGATCGCAAATAAAACTCCTACAGGGACCTTAAACCTTGTTTCCATTCCTTTGTTCCATTCTATAGTTTTTTATCACTTCTGGCTTATGTTGTAATTGCAAATATTTTGTTCCAAACAACCTTAAACACCCTGTGGTCAAAGAGCACCTTTGCATTCCCAAATAAGGGTTCATCTATTGGTTTTGTTAAGTAAATTAGTTATTAACTAGTACATTGAGGCCTTTAGCCTCTTGTGATTCATCACACTATTATGTCGTATGAGCGCGAGCTCAGTAGTTGTAATACAGTTGTAATAAAGAACCAGTCAGGAAAACTGTTCAACTCAGTTTACAGTCTAAATACAAAGGTTAGAGTTTCCCTACCACTTAAAAAACCACA